TCACAAGAATTTCAACAAATCGGACTCATATTTTATCTATTTTTCCAGTTCTCTCCTTCTCTAATGGTTGTCCAAATTTATCACTTCAAGACGCTTTCTTGATGCTGTTTTGATATGATTTATTAATATAAATCTTTTCACTACTAGCACTGGATGTTTGAAATGTGGCACAAATATCAACGAGATATTGACTTGTCCTTCTGGACATATTGTTCTTCCTGTTAAAAATTCAAAATGATTCAGAATTTTTTTTTTATTGGTCTAATTGATTTAAAGTCCTTTTCTTTTCTCTTCTTCGCACATTTTCTTGTGCACTGAGAATGCGTTAGCAGTGCGCACTTGTGCGCCCTTTACACATTAGCTCCATTATTTGGTGGATTTTCCAGACACAGACAAGTTTTAGGGGGAAGAGGTGGAATGTTAGTTGTTTTAACTAGGGCTGCAACAAACTATAATTTTGGTAATTGATTAATCTGTCGATTTAGTAATCAATTAGATAGCAAATGTTTCCTTAAAGATTTCATGCAAAATTTAAAGCAGGTGATGCCAAAACTAGCTCTGGATAAAGCATTTTGACAAGTTTTTTATTTTAATTTTTTTTACAATTTTGGCATTATTACCACTCTGAGTAAGTTGCATTCTCTATACTCCAGTCAGTTATTAATTGATTTCTAAATTAGATTCCGGATATTTAAATAATTGGCTAATAATGATTAATTCGATGAACTCCTTCCACCTTATTTTTAACCATTCCAAACTGGTTGAGATAAAAGATTTTAAATTATTTTTTTTTATATTCAGTCTATTTTGCCTCTGATAGTAAAGCTGAATCATTTGCATATAGTTCTATTGTTTATTATTTCTTAGGGCTGTCTAAAATGTGGCCTTGGGGTTACTGGCTGCTGTCATTATGCATCCTCTGACTGCAGTTCAGCAGTTATACAAATGATGCCAAACAGGTGGTCGAGGCTGAATGAAAATGTTTTTTTTTTCTGAGCATTAATCTTCCCTATAATCCCTATAAAAATGTAGTTTGTGCATAAAGGCAACTTGAAATTAGGTCCTGCTTGAAGGTGTTGATTCTGAGCCGGTGTCTCCTTTTTGTCATCAGTCTCTCAGTCTTTGGTGATGCTATATTCTCTTGGGTGAAGAAAGTGACACTGCTGTTTGGATTTTGTAAGCTTGGGCCTTGGTGGGTTTTTGGTCATTCTTGAACAACCACACCAATCACCTTTCCTTTTAATTGGGTAGTTTGGATCAGATACACAGATAGGTGTTTTGAACAGATTTTAGAAATGATATGGAATTGACATTAGAAATGTTACGGAATTGACACAGCAGACTTACAACAAAACTAAATTCAGCCACATAAAAACAAAAAGTCCATGGATTCAACAACCACACTAAATATAGCTTGACCAATTCTACTAGTAACAGTGATTTAATGTCAAATCAGAGTTATGCCAGTACCATTGCAGATGGCTACAAAGTGACAGTTTCTCTGGAACTTTGCTATGCTAGGTTTACCCAAATATTAATAATAGAACTGATGAATCCGTTTTGTTAAACCTCCATGGAGGAAATAAACATCACATCTAAATCACATTTTCGATCATCTTCTACCATTTGTCAGTCCTTTGACGAAAGTTGGGGTTCATTCTGGACAGGTTGCCAGTCCATTGCAGGTCAATACAGAGACATAGAACCATGCACATACACTCTCACACCTAAGAGCAATTTGGAGACACCAGTCAACCCATCAGTCATGTTTTTAGACTGTGGAAATAAGCTGGAGTACCCAGAAAAACCCAAACATCTTTATGGAGTAAACATGCAAACTCTGTACACAAAGACCCAGTATTCAAACACATCGCTTTTTTGCTGCAGTGCTACAAACTATAACACCTGACCTCTGTATGATCCTGCCACAATGGCAATATTGTTTACATGCCTTATTAAAAGTCCAAAGACGTAAATACCAAAGATGATTTTATCTTTATTTCTGAAGGGGACTTATTTTCTTTCGTCTTTACTGAGATACTAAGGATGTAAAAAGGCTTTTTTGGCAAAAAAAAAAATAGAATGCCTCAAATACTTAAATATTCTTGTCATTCAGTATATACATTTAAACCAATATATTATATAGATTCATTACGCCTAGAAAAAAAAAGACTCTTGACAAATGAAAAGCTAAGAATTTAAAAGGGCTGGTTACACCCTAATCAGCTAATTAACTTTCTGAGCCCCTCAATGTGGAGGTCAGTCCCGGTCTACATAATGTTGAAGAAAACAGCTTACTTGACAGATGTCCCAAAGATCGGCACTAACTTCCTCCACAAGGAGGAAAAGCCACGATAGATCATTGACAAAAAAGACATTTTTTTTACGATATTTATACAAAGTTGAGTGGAAGAAGAAATTGTGGCAAGCAGAATAACCGCAACCATGTCAGGGTTGTCAAAGAAAATATTTCAGAGAATTTATTTTTTATTTTTTTCACAAGGAGTAGATTTAGGCAGTAGTGAGTGCATGAAGAGGCTTTCTGCACTGACTATTCTCACAGATGGGCTACTAGCATCTTACAGGGGGACATAATAAAAAAGATGCTGGACAGTGGGGGTTTCAGATTAAAGTCAAGTTTTTGACAGCAGTTTTCTGCTGCCAACACAATGGATCCAGTGCGTCATGATGTTGGTGGAGTCCTCGTTTCGACAGCCTCATGTCACGTGTAAGCCTCATGACACAGGAAAAGGGATGCAGATCTGTTGCATCAACTGTGTATTAGATGTGTGTAGGATCCGTTTGTGGAGAAGACATTGAATGTAGTCTATGTGAATGAGGGGTAGGGACCACCTCGTGGATGAATTATCTCTGCAAATAGACTAAGATTTGAGAGAATCAAACCTTTGGTGTATTAAAAAAGTCTTAGATCTTTGGGTTAAGCTCATGATAAATGAGACCAAGAAACAGCTTTTGATTTAAATGTTGTTCCCTGTATTAGTTTCTGAAGGGGACATAAATTTAGATTTTTTACATTCTTCTTCTTTTATTAGCTGCACCAGCATATTGTAACATGCTGTGGAATAAGGACGAACATAGTTATCCCAATTGCTTTTACTCATCATTGTTAAATGGGGATTTTTTTTCATTTGAAAAAACAAAACAATATAACCCAATTTTTTATATAACTCAATACTATATAAAATGTCCCATGAAGAGTTCATAAACAGAGACTTTTAGCAATCTTAGCACTTTAGATTTTGCAACATCAGTATATCGTCAAACCTTGTGAAATAGCCTCTCAATCCAGCACCTATAGGAAGTAGGGATGGGACGATTTATGAAAACCGAAAAAGGAGCAGTGCATAAACCGAACATGGATATTGTCAGCGTTGCAAACATAGCTGCCGTTATCCAGGAATATTTTGAATCAGGACATACGTACGAGGTGATA